TACAGGCCTTTACGATAAGTATGTGATTTTATGGGGTTCGATTTTGTAATGTTACAGCCTCGTCAGTTGGAACTTCTGTTTCCTATGATCTGATTTTATAATTATATATTTTGTAGTCACTACTGGCTACGTTTTGAGGGAAAATATCATACTCGATTCCCTAGTTTTCGTCATAGGTCTTGATATAATCTAGATAAGTGAACAGATATCCTGACCGAAGAGAGGTACCGACTGTCAATTTCGAGGAAAATATACAAGATGAAAGGATAAAGTCGAAGCAGCAAGATTTGAATTTTTAAAAGGTTGTATATAAAAGGTTATATATATATATATATATATATATATATATATATATAAACTGTCCATATCAGGTACTCACAAATTTTTAGTCCTTGATTGGCTATATCCAATTACAGCACAACCAGACATAAAACACTCGCTCTTAATAGCTGTCCTGCGATTTTCATACTCCTTTACTTCTATATGAAATCAAGTAGGATTTTCTCGTGACCATCACTGTGTTTCAGTTGAACCATTCCAAGTTTTTTGAGTAGTCGTATTGCCCGATTTTGTTCTACCGGGTTTGTATTCGTATTTTTCTCTCTTAGGACAGATGTCTTGACTTCGTAAGGCATGGAACACTCTAGGTTGAACATCCTTATCGGTCACCAATGCAGATGGTCAAGGACTACTGGAGTTGTACGGAAATGGTGCGGTAGCTAACATCAACGTCGCCGGCCACCCATGCAAGTACTGACCGGGCCCAACGTTGCTTAACTGCGGTGATCGGACGAGAACCGGTGCTTTCAACGTGGTATGGTCGCCGGCAAAACATCAACGTCACAACTCACAATATGATTATCGATGACAGCGATTGAGACTGACTTGTATGTGACGAACAAGAGTGTATCTTTGAGAGACCAGCTCTAAGCTCTATGTTCTTATATACAGTGCTATGGGAATGGAATATTAATAACAGTAACCGAATAGTTTTGTTGGGTAATGCATGATGCAGCATTCAGATATACATGTGAATGAATAGATAATATGAACATAATCATTACTAATAGGTTGGTTATGCAGCGTCAAATACTTGATTTGTGTATAGACATTAAACTAGGGATCATCGTGAAATCAAAAATTGCGGAAGTTCGGTTTAGGTTGTCGTTGGAAAAGTAAGAAACGACGACTGCTGCGTACCAATGAGATGAATGAACTTTAGTTGTATCGAGAATGTAAGTTCCCACTATCGGGAGTGTGACTCCCAACTTATGTCTATGATAGAGTGTAATATTAGGCCGAAAATGACATGGAAAAAAATTAGAACGAACTCACTTAAATCAGGGAAATTTCACGTCATTGGATAATAAGAATAATTCAGTGAGTTTCGAATATTATAACGTTTAGTGTCCATATAGTAATAATTTGTTCGGTTAGTGAGTTGACTGCGTGAATGTCATAGCTTAATGTCAATACGAACAAAAATAATAATTCCACGTTAGATGATGATATGACATTATTGTAATGATGAGCATATGATAATTATTCGAATCATAACGGAATATGTCGTCGGCGGTTCCATTTTTGATTTTTGTTTGCTCGTTGTGGTCGCAAATTCTGTTGCGTGTTCCAAATACGGCTCACCAATTATGTTGCGTGTTCGCATGTCGGGATTACCAATTATGTAGTGAGTTCGTAGGTTGAAGTTAACAAGTTTGCTTCGCGTTTGTAAGTCGGGATCGCCAGTTGTGTAGTGGCGTGCTTCGTTAATCGATCTCTTCGATAACCGTTATTATACATATCTGAATGGTGTATAGAGTCAGAAGACAAAGGGAAGCGGCAGCTACTTTTTTTATTGACAAATAACGTAGACCAGAAAGCTTTGAGCACATGAGCAAGTGTAAGCGAGCGAAGCATACATGACACGTATTGGAGATAACTGGTAAGTCAACTCGTTATAAGCAAACATTAATCAATATTTATAGTCAGACAGAAATGAATGACAGACACATGATGAATAAGATACGAAGTGTGCATACACATACGCTCATATAAAAAAGTAGTCATGGTTAATAAGCGAATAATTAAACAGATCAAAATATGACTCAGAATGTATAGGTGAATTGGCTTGTCCAGAAACTAGAATAAGCCATGTAGGTGTAATATTGTACAAGACGCTACACTACTCCCCACAGATGTATCCATCCACTAGTATAATAATATTCAGCACTTGAGCTTTAGTGAATATGTGATATATTCCGGAAACATAATTTATCTTCAAAACTATATCAGGCTATATCTTTATATAGCAGTAATAAAGAACCGACGCTTTTGTCGTGTACTCAGCAAATCGTTAAGTAAACTAAACTAATTGGTTAAAGTCCGTAATTTGCAAATACTTCGCTTGTGGGAAAATGTAATAAAATCGAAGAATATGACAGCATTCATTTGCCCATGTTTTTTGTAATTTACGTGAAGTATTCACAAGTTCAGAATACTTAAGTCAGTAGATCCAGTTTCTTACCTTAGTGATTCCACTTTACATACTTGACAGCCAACGCTGAAGCAAATCGATGTGCCGACCAATATGTCCGGCATGATTGAACATAAAGCAGTATTGGGCCTCATTTAGACAGCTATAATGGTATTTTTATTTCTATTTGTTCTAGACTAACCACCTAAATAAAACGTACGGAAACCGTTTAGCAATTACACTTATCTGGACACTAACATTTGATGTCAATAATTCAGTCTTCAGGAGACTTTTATTGTTCCTTGTTTAAGTTGAGTTCTCGTTCATCTTAACGCAAGATGAAAATTATTTCAAAATTAATTTCGGCTTATGCATTGCTGGTGGTGAGTTATCGCCATACTTCAGATGGCGAATGTGCACAAATACTGCTTAAGGAAATAAATTTTCTGGCATACACTTCTTGTTATCAAAAACGACTTTGTCAAATTAAAGCACACACTTAGGCCTGTAGTGATATAGATTCCTAAGCACACAATCTTTGAAGCTGAAGTTAGATTGACTGAAAGAACTCACATAAAATATTCACCACGGAGGGAGGGTCAATAAGTGAACGCAAGAAAAATTGATCAGTACAGCATAACAGCCTTTTAGGCGTAATCTTTCAGTGTAACTCATACCTTTCCACGTAAAATTTATGATTAAAACTCCGAGGCAAATGTTTTCTTTGGCCGTACCAAACATCGCATCAATGATCTTCACGATAGGATTGGTCAGTATAGACAATGATACGAATTCCACGTAAGATCTTATAGATTAGGTAGTTACATCACTGCAATCTTATGATTAGGTCTATTATTATAATGAAAAAGATAAATGTACTAATACCGAACTAGGCCATACTACTACAGGATAATGAATGGTTATATATATCTCACTGTACTATATTTGGACTCGCAATCAATTTGACGGAAGATTTTATGATTGTCGATTACAATTTAAGAAAAAAAGGAATAAAAGAACGAATTAGATTCTCCCTTAAAGTATTCTACTTTTCTTTCATAAAAATTACAAAATCTTCAGTCAATATGAAAACGGTGTGGCTATATCAGACTTCCGAAATACTGAAATCTGTATTTCTTCTGTGAAAAAGTATGGGAGTCAACTAAAGGCGAAGTTAAGGATGACGGACTGAGAAGATATACTTTTATTGGAAACAGGCGTGTCATGGCGTGTAACTTGTAAGGCGCCTGGCGATCGAATGAGATTCTTTTGCAGAGGTAAATAAGCTCATAAAGCAAATAATTCTGCAAATCTCCCGCGTCAATGTTGACCTTACTAGTTTTCCTAGACACACCCTAGCTGAGGGCGCTCAGTTGCGTATCCATATTAGGTCAGGAGGGGCTTCGCTATGCTACGCATCCTTTGCAACTGTTAGCCAGCTTAGACCAAAGGTCTCTCAATATATCGATAGCCTTCCAAATATAGCTCCGAACCACATGATTTCTGGCTTATTACTTGACTGTGTTCACACAACTCGAATAACACAGGTGTCACATCTAAAGGAGTTGTCGAATTCTGAATATTTGTGCAATCTTCCCATTGAAAAAGTCAAAATGCGATCCCTAGTGATGTTTAACTAGTGAGGTTTCATTTGAGTTTAAAGACTGACCATTACGGTTAATAACTAAGTACAATTTACTTTTTTTGAACATTCCTGATGTATTCTCTGATTTGCTGTCATCTTACTTGTGCAAAAATAGTATATGCTATGACCCAATTCGTCTTTTAGTGTTGAATTTATTCCGTATGAAACAATGACATACTTCATTTCCATTTCATTGTTTCTAAGGCCAACTTCACGTTTTTTAATCCTAAGGTGATAAATATTATCAATGGAATACTGAAATTCTTATCTACTCACTGTCACGTATTCTTATTCAGTTGTGCTTTCACTGCCACTGGATAAGATATTTCTGATAAACGTCTCTAGTTTCCATGGCTTTTTTTCCTGTCAGTTTTCCGATCTTGTGAAATAATATTTTTTCGCACTTTGTTTGCCGTTCTCCAGCTTGAAAGATAAATAGGCTAATTTGGATGTTGCAATTATATTCCTGTATTGTCAATTTGTGGGGTAGGGGAAATGGAGTTCAGATCTTACCAATTTATTCATCTCGTTGAATCATCTTCATAACAGATGACAGGTAAGGCTGGTTATCAGATAGGGTAGTCCAGTGCAGGTAAAAATCGCGAGATGTGATTGAAGTAGAAATTGCGAGCTTTAAAAAGTCCAATTGTATTCAAGTGGAATTCCCCATTTACTTGGGTTCCCTTACGAATATTGTTCAATATCAACTCTCTATTTAGTGAGAGAAAACAGCAGCTTCCAACTCATTGGTAACAATCCAAATGTTTGTCACCAGATAATTACTTGGTGAATTTTTAACAATACAGTTTTATGTCTATGAACCAACGTCGGATTCGTGGACATGTTTTTATTGGGAACTGAGGGCTTTGTTTTTCTACTCACATTTGTAGGACACATTTTTCGGAAGACGCGTTGACATATTTGGTTTGTGTACGTGATGGGTTTGTCGAAGCTTAGTATTTCAGATGTTGACCTCAAGGGAAAACGTGTTCTTATTCGGTAAGAATGATTTTAGCTGATTAGAGTTAAATGGTCTATAGAGTTGATTTTAACGTCCCTATGAAAGATGGGAAAGTCACTAACACTCAAAGGTAATAGTCGGAAATTGTAGTTACTTTGTACCATTTTAGAATAGCAGCTGCCATACCAACTATTAAATATGCTTTGGATAAGGGGGCTAAAAGTGTCGTCTTAATGTCTCATTTAGGTCGGCCAGATGGGCACAAAGTTGATAAGTATTCTCTAAAGCCTGTGTGCCCAGAAGTGTCAAAGTTGTTAGGCAAAGAAGTTACGTTCCTCAATGATTGTGTTGGGCCTGAAGTAGTCAACGCATGTGCTAATCCTGCTCCTGGAAGCGTTTTTTTGCTGGAGAATCTTCGCTTCCACGTTGAAGAAGAAGGAAAAGGTGTCTCACCCACCGGCGAAAAAGTTAGTCCTATCCTTCATTTTTTTATCAAGCGTACGGATTACTATAGCGTGTCATGAGTCGCCGCTACGAACTCTAGCTATTAAGCTAGAGTGTTCCTATTTTTGTAACTACTAAATATTCAGTACAAATACAACCAACTGGTAGGATTCTCTTAGAAATATTGTTAGGAGTTCTGTATGAGCATCTTTTATTTTGGTACTCTCACCAGAGTTTTTTCTAGGACTATCAATGGTTAGAGCACTATATTGGTTCTAAAGCTATTTCAACGAAACTATAATTTATAGACGAATCAATCAGATTTACGTTAACATATCTTGTATTTGGACCTGGACTTCCTCCATCCTTACAGCTAGGCAGCATTCTGGTATTATAGCTAGTGTCAGTTCGTAATAAAATCCCTTACTATTATTTCTAACCCTAGCGTCTGGTTGTAAATTTCAATTCTACATGTTAATTCATAGCTCACTTAATTCTAGTAAGTAGGTAGGCGTTCTCAGGATCACCTATGAGACACTCATAGGTCGTCCTTAAGTTACATACTCACCGTCATTTAATGTTTATATTATTTAATCATCTGTTATATGTTGTGAAAGTAGATTGAATGTGATAACTTATTGAAGAGGATACAAATCTAATGCTACCTGTTTCGTGTTATGTGAATATACTATTCTGTCGAATTATTCAGTTATTTTATGGATATCTCTAAGATTCGTAAGATTTTTAGACAGATGGACGTATTACCTACTTCCTGAAAATAAATACGATTAGTGATTCTTCTAGGCACCATACATCTGCTTAACGTTAACTAATATCTACGGAATTTAATGCAGTAAAGTAATCAGTCAGTCAGCTGCAACGTAGGACCAGGCACATTTATGCATCGGTCCAAGTTGCCATACCTCGTTAGCACAACAAGATGAACACCGAATTCATAGAAATAGTTAATTTAGTGATGGTAGTATATAAAAGGTTGTATATAAGGATATAGTATAGGAAGGAAGAACGTTATGAAACAATTTTAATCTCAAGGTGTAAAGGAAGATAAAGAGTGTATACGCCCACGCCATTGTGATCGATTCTGAGCCATGTCACCCATAAGCTCCAACCATTGGTTACGATAGTCACGCGGACCAGAACCAGGTAGTCTGCATCTACCAACATAGCTCAGACTAGAAGTTAGGGACTTCAAGCACTAGTTTGGCCACCCCTAACTCTTTTGCAACCATCCCCAATACTAGTCAGCATAGCGCGTCGTGGTCACCGGTGTTCAGGCATACGTAACACGTGGCCTAACCATCACAGTCGATGAAGATTCATGACCTCATCAACTGATTTACCACCATTCTCCTTAGCTAAAACCGTAGAATCTCGTACAATCGGTGTATGCTGTGTCTCCGAAACACGCATACAGGATCCTAGTGTGGTCATTCACTTGACCTCACCTCGCCAAAATGGACAGCCAACGAAATACACCCTCCGTGTATCTGGCGACCCCATGACTAGTTCTCGTGGACTTGTAGGTGTAGGCATAGCACTAAGTACAAGGGCACAACAGGCACTACTAGAATGGATCCCGTTAACAGTCGCCTGTGTGCTGTCCGGCTAAATGGCTCCGTAAGAACTCGGAAGGATAGGGACACACGCCGTTGCCTTTTCGTCGTTTCTGCCTACGCTCCCACTGACTGCAACGATGATAAAGTGAAAGATAACTTTTACAGAAAGCTAAGCGCTCAGACATAGTAGTCGTAGCGGGTGACTTTAATGCCCAGGTAGGCAGCTTAAATCAAACAGAAAGACATTTAGGTGGGTGATTTAGTATTCCGGCTCAACGAACCGATAATGGTGATCGTCTGTTGCAACTATGCTCAGACAATCGTTTATTTTTAGCAAACACTAACTTTAAACATAAGAAGAGACATCGCCTAACATGGCGACCACCTGCACCAAACCAACGATGGACTCAAATAGACCATATTGTCATCAGTCATCGTTGGAGAGGCTCAATAAAAGATCGTCGCTCGTATTGGAATACTTGTTTAGACTCTGATCACGCTTTAATACGAGCACGCATTTGTCTGCGCCTCAATGGACGCAGGAAAACTACACTAAGAAGACCCATTAGGATTGAACTGGAGGACGAGAAAGCCAAATGCGAATTCCAGAAACAACTGAGTTCACATCTAGGCAGTTCTGTAAACGAGACTGACCCAGATGCTGCTTGGAAAGACATACAAACAGCTGTGGAAACAGCAGTACCATCTATTCGTTATTTAAACCATAAAACTCCAAAAAAAACAGTGGATTTCTTATAAGTCTATTTCACTGATGGATTCGCGTAAACTCATCCCATCAGGCTCTGAACATGACGAAGAGCGTAAAGAAATTAGATCTAGGTTAACTAAAAGTCTAAGGAACGATCGTGAGCAGTGGTGGGCAACGAAAGCAAAAGAGATGGAAAAGGCAGCGACTGTAGGCAACACCAGGTAACTCTTTAGACTAATAAAAGGAACCGGAATTAAGAAGTCAAGTGTAAGTGAGACAATCTCGGAAAAGGACGGAACCCTTATCTGCTCTCAGACCAGACGTTTAGAACGATGGGCAGAACACTTTAAGGAGCAGTTTAGCTGGCCTTTGGCTACTGCACAACTACCCACTATTCCTAGAAAACCTGAATGGAACATTGAAGTAGGCCCCCCCACCCTACTTGAAGTTCAAAAAGCTATAGGTAATCTGAAACGAGGAAGAGCAGCTGGTCCAGATGGATTGGCTCCAGATGTCTTTAAATATGGTGGGCCGATTTTAGCGATTAGGCTGACTAATATTCTGGCTAAAATCTGGGAGTTGGAGGTAATCCCATCCGACTGGTCACAATCACTGACTAATCCCTCTATGGTTATCACAGGATGATTTGGACCCCTTCTTATATATTGGGTCAGTCAGTGAATGTGATCAGTCGGGCGGGATTACCTCCAACTCCCAGATTTTAGCCAGAATATTAGTCAGCCTAATCGCTAAAATCGGCCCACCATATTTAAAGACATCTGGAGCCAATCCATCTGGACCAGCTGCTCTTCCTCGTTTCAGATTACCTATAGCTTTTTGAACTTCAAGTAGGGTGGGGGGGCCTACTTCAATGTTCCATTCAGGTTTTCTAGGAATAGTGGGTAGTTGTGCAGTAGCCAAAGGCCAGCTAAACTGCTCCTTAAAGTGTTCTGCTCATCGTTCTAAACGTCTGGTCTGAGAGCAGATAAGGGTTCCGTCCTTTTCCGAGATTGTCTCACTTACACTTGACTTCTTAATTCCGGTTCCTTTTATTAGTCTAAAGAGTTACCTGGTGTTGCCTACAGTCGCTGCCTTTTCCATCTCTTTTGCTTTCGTTGCCCACCACTGCTCACGATCGTTCCTTAGACTTTTAGTTAACCTAGATCTAATTTCTTTACGCTCTTCGTCATGTTCAGAGCCTGATGGGATGAGTTTACGCGAATCCATCAGTGAAATAGACTTATAAGAAATCCACTGTTTTTTTGGAGTTTTATGGTTTAAATAACGAATAGATGGTACTGCTGTTTCCACAGCTGTTTGTATGTCTTTCCAAGCAGCATCTGGGTCAGTCTCGTTTACAGAACTGCCTAGATGTGAACTCAGTTGTTTCTGGAATTCGCATTTGGCTTTCTCGTCCTCCAGTTCAATCCTAATGGGTCTTCTTAGTGTAGTTTTCCTGCGTCCATTGAGGCGCAGACAAATGCGTGCTCGTATTAAAGCGTGATCAGAGTCTAAACAAGTATTCCAATACGAGCGACGATCTTTTATTGAGCCTCTCCAACGATGACTGATGACAATATGGTCTATTTGAGTCCATCGTTGGTTTGGTGCAGGTGGTCGCCATGTTAGGCGATGTCTCTTCTTATGTTTAAAGTTAGTGTTTGCTAAAAATAAACGATTGTCTGAGCATAGTTGCAACAGACGATCACCATTATCGGTTCGTTGAGCCGGAATACTAAATCACCCACCTAAATGTCTTTCTGTTTGATTTAAGCTGCCTACCTGGGCATTAAAGTCACCCGCTACGACTACTATGTCTGAGCGCTTAGCTTTCTGTAAAAGTTATCTTTCACTTTATCATCGTTGCAGTCAGTGGGAGCGTAGGCAGAAACGACGAAAAGGCAACGGCGTGTGTCCCTATCCTTCCGAGTTCTTACGGAGCCATTTAGCCGGACAGCACACAGGCGACTGTTAACGGGATCCATTCTAGTAGTGCCTGTTGTGCCCTTGTACTTAGTGCTATGCCTACACCTACAAGTCCACGAGAACTAGTCATGGGGTCGCCAGATACACGGAGGGTGTATTTCGTTGGCTGTCCATTTTGGCGAGGTGAGGTCAAGTGAATGACCACACTAAGATCCTGTATGCGTGTTTCGGAGACACAGCATACACCGATTGTACGAGATTCTAGGGTCTTAGCCAAGGAGGCCTGTTGACCGATTTGACTTAGGGTACGTACGTTGAAGGCTCTAATGTGTAGTTTGGAGCTAGGTTTTAGTAGACATGGGACATTATTTGGTGCGCTAGAATCGTTGACCATGGTGACACTTAAGGAGGAAACCGAAAGAGGAAGTTTGGTGTTGAAAGTTGAGGTAGATGGAATAGTGGGAAGTGAAGGAGGAGATTGATTATGAATACGGTGGTCTTGAGTGCTGTTAGAGGTATTAGGGCAGTTATCACTTCTCGGTTGCCCACACCGTGGAAGGGTTCTTCTAGAGGTATCTGAAAATGAAGTTGGGTTAGAAGTGGTCTTAATGACCTGAGAGCGTGACCGCAGTGCCCAAGGGACAACTGCTTGAGGTCTGTCACACACAACTTTTTTGTGGGTAGTTTTTGTGTTATCTCCGTTCTTCAAAGGACCTTACCGCCAGAGACGGATATCTGTGGAATAAGGCGAGGTGTGCATCTATAGGGTCGACCTTTTCTAACCCCACCTCTCCTTGTGGGAAGGCAGCATCGCTGTTATGTTGGTTGTCTGAAGGAAACACCTTACTGCTGTCACACCTTTGTACAGTCAGCAGTACGACTTCGCCTTCGGACCTTGGGTTTGCTGCTTTTAGTCTCACCGCTCTTCAACCGACCTGTCTGGCATAATAGGACCTTGAGGAACGATTGTTCCAGCCAGTATAGCTTGATTGGTTCATCACGATATGCAAGCCCAACCACTACGTCAAGGTAGGGGCAACGGTCAGGCAGTAAAGTAATAATTCAGTAGATTAGCTGTCTGTCTTTATTGATCCCTTAACTAAGACTCGCAAATGTATTTCATGCCAGTGCATGTATTTTGGAGTAGAAAAACTTTCTTATTAGTCACTTCTTAACTTGATGTGAAATAATTGGTGGCCGGTGTAGTTTGTTGGACAGCTATTAACTGCATCATGACATTCATCTAAAAATCATGTTTTTCTAGTACTATATATTAAGGCGCACTGAGGCTTGATTCTTACTGTTTGTTTCAAAGGCATGTTTGTAGATAGTTTCCATTATCAATTATAGCCCTTTATCGTCTATTCTACGCTTTCTTATATTTTACCGACTTATTACTTTGTTATTCGTTCGTTATTACAAACTTCATATCCTATTTCTTGACAGACAAAAGCCACTGCTGACCAAATCAAGGCTTTCAGTGAAAGTCTAACAAAACTTGGTGATGTCTACGTCAACGATGCCTTTGGGACGGCACATAGAGCTCATGCGTAAGTTAGGCTTGCATATCTCTTTTTTGTGTGAATCTTCTTAGTAATGAAACCATCTTTAAAGTTAGTCGGGTTGAGAAGCTAGTGATTTTATAAACATGCAACAAAAAGCCTAATAGACGTGTTCAGCACGTGTTAATGCGCGAGGCTTAATTGAGTTTTATGTTGGCAATCTCTTACACGTCAATCAAAAAGATTAGTTAATTTCAACACAATAAACTCACTTGTTGTCAGTCCAAGAACAGTTATGCCATTTGGATTAAGAAAATAAATTAAAATCAAGAAGGCAAGTGTTATGAGCACTTTTATTACGGCTCAACTACTCTTATTGCCTAGTATACTTGACACCACTTCACTCGACAACTCCCCAGACAATAACATGGTTGGAGAGGGACGTAGTTATATTCCGGATAGCAAGGTAGAATGAGAGCAAGAATTACAATAGGAAAAAAACATAAGCATATTCACAATTGTACGCAAGAAAGTTCTAGAGTCTTCTCCAAGTATACGTCAGTACTGATTGGCTAGGAAATGACCAATCAGTGTGTCCCAAAACAATTCTGCACCAAACATGCTTTAATTCAGTCTATATCCCACTAGGAACATGTCAAATGACTTCGACTCCCATGTATTCACTAAGTATCATAAAAACCGGTCATTTGCACATCAGGAGCTCTTAATTTTTAAGTCAGGAATCATGGCGCTGTGTATCTGTCTAAGTTTTACCTCACACCAACAGAATAGATCAAGATTAGAAACAAATGGAAAGAACTAACACCAATGAACCATATTGTTCGCTATTTCATTTTATTGTACTGTAATATATTTTACAAATATAATTTTTCAGAAACTGTCATACATTAGTAGAAAAAAAAATTTAGTCTATGGAACATGGCCATTAAGAGTAGAGGTTATTCGTAGGTTACGGGTATTCGATCACTGGTGTCTACGAAACATTACTCGTGCATTTTAGGACCAAAGAGTAAGCCATGACGTGGTTGTAAATAGAGTACTAGGCAAGGATTTGAAATCGATTGATGAGGTATTAACTCTTCAACTGAGGTGGTTGGGACATGTGTTACGTATACCCAATCACCACCTGCCTCGATAGGCGATGTTTTCTGGTGTAGGAGTAGGTTGGGAGAGAGGCAAAGATGTTAGTACTCCATGGAGTCACTGACAGTTGAACTTAGCCATGTTGATAGGTGTAGATTATCCATCACAACTAAAGGTTAGCCTTTGAATGACATGGCTTAAAATCGTTTTTAATTGCGCAGGTGCATTTGTTTTTGTATTCCCCCAAATCCTGAAATTCCAAATTCTTCATAACTATTTTGTTTTCATTTCACTGATTTATATTTCCTTTTCGAGTTGTATCTTTAATGTCTGATATTTCGTGTTACCACTGGTACTGTTACTACCTCTACTATTCTGAGATTTGACCTGACAACTCGGTATGTTAATGGGGCATGGCAGCTTGAACCGATGTACATGCGTACAGGTTCTACGTTATGACTGACGAACTGACTATCACCTTTCCAACTAAAAATCAAACACAAAGTTTCTTATTCCTAATAAAATCATTCAAAATAATACTAGCCTACATTTTCTACTGTTTTCGTTATAATTCATTATTGGATCATTCCTACTTGTGGTAATAACTTTTAATGTTAGGTTATTAACTCATTTAAATAGTATAGGTTCTGTCATATCCTGGCGAGGACATAAGTACGGGTAACTCCCAGGACATATTGTTGGACTATTATTCTATGTAAATTCCTATTGTCTAACTATTCAGTAACTAGATTATGTATATCTATATTCATCTGATTATAAGCTTCATTTTGACCTATTGATTATTATTATACGATTTACTGTCCCTAAACTATACTCAGTTTATTGATTATTGTCTCCCACGTTCACAGCCACATTTGGCTTGATTTTGTACAAATATATTATTTTCTATTTTATGGTGTGATGTGGTCTGCCTGTCTGGTATATAAACAAAGTATGCTTGAAATAAACGATTCACATAGATTCGCATAACAGCAGCTGCTATTGGTGTTCTGGACTCAAGTGGACGGGCTAGGCGGATTAAAGACCAATAAGGATGCGAGATTACTCATACTGATTGGGCGTTCTTGATCGTCACCGTGTTAAGGTCGGAAAAGTCGTATTTCTATTAGTGGATAATTCACGCGAGTTACGTCCTTGTTTAATTTGTAAGTTCATAACAAATTAGCGACGACCTTGATCAAATCATAACAGGTTCGTCTACTTTGAGCCACACTGTGTGATGACTAATGATACTAGCTTGTTCCCCAAACCAAAGCAGGTGAGATTCGCACCTGCGACTTTATGGCCAGAAGTCGAGGGCCCTAACCACTCAGCCACAGCTTCACATTCTTTAGAGTTATTTGTACAGTATATTCTGATTTTGCGTAACTCAGCTATTTCTTCCTCATTTTGCTTTATAGTTCTATGGTCGGCTGCCAACTACCACAAAAAGCCTGTGGATTTCTCATGAATAAAGAATTGACATACTTCGCCAAAGCTCTAGAAAATCCAGAACGTCCTTTCTTAGCTATTTTAGGAGGGTAAGAATTTTGTTAATTTGCTGCATGTACATCCCATATATTAGTACATTTTTCAGGTTTTAGCTAAAATTTAATGTTATATATATATATAATTAAAGTAATTCCTTTCTTTCGTCTAGTGCCAAGGTTAGCGACAAGATCCAGTTGATCAATAATATGCTTGACAAAGTTAATGAATTAATCATCGGTGGTGGGATGGCGTATACATTTCTTAAGCAAATACACAATATGCATGTAAGTCACCTTATGTTTTTGTATTTGTATCTATATGTTTGTATTATATTCTCGCATTACTAACAGTATCTGGAGTAAATTCTCCACTTCTCTATTTTCACAGTAAAAGTTGTAAGAAGTAAATAAAATGGTAAATAAAACGCATCCTCGATGGACGCACTAAGTCTGTTATAACTTGTGACGGAGTGGATGCCCTGTTAATGTATAACGTGATAAGACAGCCAATTAGAGAGCAGCGATTTATCGATCAGACCAGTGATACACAAAAACCGTGAGAGCAGTCTATAGAACTCCGCCTGTAGCTCCTCTGGGGGTTACTGCCGGTCCCAAGCCCGGGTAAAGGAGGAGGGTTGGGCATGGGGTTAGCGACCCCATCCCGTAGAAAATCAACTCGCTATAAAAACGCTAACCAGAAAAAATCATTCAAACCTTTCAAACTCTGCCCTGGGAGTAGAAGGAATAATTATGACGTCTCATGATGAAAGCCGAGTTCATTCGGAAGTCATGAGGCCGATGCACCTTCTTACAACCAGAGCGACAATTTTTATAGGTACATGGAATGTCCGAACAATGTGGGAGATCGGAAGAGTCTTCCAAATTGCTGCAGAAATGAGAAAATACAACCTGGAGGTTCTTGGAATCAGCGAAACACATTGGACGCAGGTTGGACAACAACGACTGTCTTCAGGAGAACTTCTGTTATACTCCGGTCATGAAGAAGAAAATGGCCCACATACACAAGGAGTTGCATTGATGCTGTCCAGAAAAGCACAAAATGCACTTATTGGATGGGAATCTCATGGACCAAGGATCATCAAAGCCTCCTTCAAAACAAAGAGAGAGGGCATTACAATGAACATCATCCAATGCTATGCGCCGACCAACGACTACGATGAAGACGCTAAAGACCAATTCTACAACAGATTATAGTCGATCTTCGAGAAGTGCCCAACCAAGGATCTGACCATTTTGATGGGAGATTTCAATGCTAAGGTTGGAAAGGACAACACTGGATACGAAGACGTCATGGGACAACATGGACTGGGAGAAAGGAACGAAAATGGTGAGAGATTTGCAAACCTATGTGCCTTCAATAAACTGGTCATAGGTGGCACCATATTTCCACACAAAAACATACACAAAGCCACTTGGATTTCACCGGATCACACTACACAGAACCAAATTGACCATATCTGCATCAACAAAAAGTTCAGGAGGACGATGGAGGATGTGAGAACCAGAAGAGGAGCTGATATAGCATTTGCTGGTCGCCAAGATGAAACTAAAACTCAAGAAGCACTGGACAACGGCGCGGACAACATCACAAAAGTTTAATACGGCCTTTCTTCGAGATGCTGACAAACTCAACAAATTCAACATAGCCCTCGGCAACAGGTTCCAGGCCTTTTATGATCTACTCAATGGAGAGGGAACCACCATAGAGAGCAGCTGGAAAGGTATCAAGGAGGCAATCGTTTCAACATGTCAGGAGGTTCTGGGCCAAAAGAAGCACCATCACAAGGAATGGATCACTGTTGGTATAATGGATAAGATTGAAGCAAGGAGGAACAAGAAGACAGCAATCAATATCAGCCGAACAAGAGCGGAAAAAGCCAAGGCACAAGCCGAATACACAGAGGCAAACAAGCAAGTGAAGAGGAACATCAGAACCGACAAACGTAAATATGTTGAAGATTTAGCGATGACAGCGGAAAAGGCCGCAAGAGAAGGAAACATGAGACAACTGTATGACACAACAAAGAAACTTGCTGGAAATCACCGTAAGCCAGAAAGACCAGTAAAAAGCAAGGAGGGCAAAGTAATCACCGACATTGAAGAACAACGAAACAGGTGGGTAGAACACCTCAAAGAACTCTTGAATCGACCAGCTCCACTGAACCCACCCAACATTGAATCAGCACCTACAGACCTCCCAATCGATGTTGGCCCACCAACAATTGAAGAGATCAGCATGGCCATTAGACAAGTCAAGAGTGGCAAAGCAGCGGGACCAGACAACATCCCGGCAGAGGCACTGAAATCAAATGTATCAGCAACTGCCAAGATACTCCACATCCTCTTCGGTAAGATTTGGGACGAAGAACAAGTACCAACAGACTGGAAAAAAGGACTTCTGATCAAAATACCAAAGAAAGGTGATCTTAGCAAGTGCGACAACTACAGGGGCATCGCTCTCCTCTCAATACCAGGAAAAGTCTTCAACCGAGTATTGTTAAACAGGATGAAGGATTCAGTGGACGCCCAACTTCGAGATCAACAAGCTGGATTTCGTAAGGATAGATCGTGCACAGATGAAATCGCAACTCTGCGGATCATTGTGGAACAATCAATCGAATGGAATTCATCGCTCTACATCAACTTCATCGACTACGAGAAGGCATTTGATAGCGTGGACAGGACGACACTATGGAGGCTTCTTCGACACTACGGCGTGCCTGAGAAAATAGTCAATATCATACGGAACTCTTATGATGGACTAAACTGCCAAATCGTCCACGGAGGACAACTCACCGACTCGTTTCAAGTAAAGACCGGTGTTAGGCAAGGTTGCTTACTCTCTCCGTTTCTCTTTCTCCTGGTGATCGACTGGATCATGAAGACGTCAACGACTGGAGGAAAGCACGGGATACAGTGGACAGGCAGGATGCAGCTTGACCATCTAGACTTCGCGGATGATCTGGCTCTTCTATTACAAAAGCAACAACAAATGCAGGAGAAAACGACCAGTGTAGCAGCAGCCTCAGCAGCAGTTGGTCTCAATATAAACAAAGGGAAAAGCAAGACTCTCTGATACAACACAATATGCACCAATCAAATTACACTTGACGGAGAAGCTTTGGAGGATGTGGAAACCTTTACATATCTGGGCAGCATTATTGATGAACACGGTGGATCAGATGCAGATGTGAGGGCGAGGATCGGCAAAGCAAGAGCAGCATACTTACAACTGAAAAACATCTGGAGCTCAAAACAATTGTCAACCAACACCAAAGTTAGAATTTTCAATACAAATGTCAAGACAGTTCTATTGTATGGGGCGGAGACGTGGAGAACTAAGAAAGCCATTATCCAGAAGATGCAAGTTTTTATTAACAGTTGTCTACGCAAGATACTTCGGATCCGATGGCCAGACACTATCAGCAACAAGTTACTGTGGGAGACAAACCAGATTCCAGCAAAGGAAGAAATCAGGAGGAAGCGCTGGAAGTGGATTGGGCACACTTTGAGGAAATCACTCGATTGCGTCACAAGACAAGCCCTCACATGGAATCCTGAAGGTCAACGGAAAAGAGGAAGACCAAAGAACACATTACGCCGAGAAATAGAGACAGACATGAGAAGAATGAACAAGAACTGGATAGAACTAGAAAAGAAGGCCCAGGACAGAGTGGGTTGTAGAATGCTGGTCGGCGGCCTATGCTCCATTGAGAGTAACAGGCGAAAGTAAGTAAGTAAGTAAGTCTATAGTACTTATCGGTCCTGCTTTCTGCCTTGCCCAGCCAGTTAAGTCCAGAACAGTCTCTGCGGTATGAATCATTATATTTCAAACATACTGAGTTTATATACCAATCAGACTGACCACATCGTACCATAAAATAGAAAATAACATTTGTACAAGACTTAGCCAAATGTGGCTGTGAGTAGGGGAGGTAGTAAATACTAGACAGGGCATAATTCATGAATGGCAAATCGTATGACAATAGTTCATAAGTCAGAATAAAGCTAATAATAAGGGAAAGATGAATATGAATAGTTTATTTATTTATCAATCATACAATAAAAAACATATATATGCATAGTATTGGTTCATAAATAGATCCCAGTTACCATTCATTATCCTCATCGGGGCATAACCAAGTCTTAATGGTTTCTTATAAGTGTTACGACTTTAACGTTTTGTTTATAAGAAAACTACCTCCTTCTACTGATAATCTTATTAGGTATCAACTGTAGGCTCTGTTGAACTTTCCCTGTACTAATTTCTACACAGTGACCCACAAACGGACAAATTACGGCTCGATGCAAGAGGAGACAAAAATAACAGATGGATACGCACTTACACACATAATGTCTCAGTACACTTAATTTGAACATTGGGTAGATTGCTATAAATAAATAATATATTTGTAATATCCCAATGAGTAGAAAAATTAGATTTTCTGGTGTTTCTTGACTCAGTGTAAGTCACTTCTTCAGAGAATAAATAACCAAGTGAAAATTAATCCAAGTTTAAATAATACAACGCAACAATAAGAATATTAAGTGATCAATGAAAAAACAGGTCTGAATAAATCAATCATTGGTTACGACCATACCGTGGATACTAATACGGAAGTTGTCTTCATATATGGTTCAGATTAACGGTAAATGACTTCTAAGACCAACGTCATATATTGGTCTAGTCGCTGTTAGATTCTCCGTGAAGATTATAGGTAAATTATACGACGTTTATCCTCAGGTTTTTGATTCACAAATCGATTAACTGGAAACTTAGTGGACTGAAATCTTTTCTATGTTGCTTTAATTAACGTGATTATTTTCCGTACCTTTATACCAAATAAAATGGTTCTGTAGCAATGGGTAGCTGGACTTGAATTAAAGGTACTTTAGCGGCTTCAGTCAATCTACGCTTACAAACTTACTAACTGATTTATCATATTTATCTAGTATTCTATGTCTCATAATATTGCTAAGCTATTTCACTATGGCAAATTCAAATAATGTTTCAGTCACATCGGAAATTTTTTCAACTCTTGAATGTACCATACATTCAAGGGTTACGTTTTACCTCTAGAATGTACGTAAGTAAAATGTTTATGTTTTTCTTATTTTCAGATAGGAAATAGTTTATTTGATGCACCGGGTGCAGAAATTGTTCATAAAGTAATGGAAACTGCAAAGGCTAAAAATGTTGCAATTCACTTACCTGTTGATTTCGTAACTGCCGATAAATTTGCTGATGATGCGAACACCGAAATAAGAACTATACAATCCGGAATTGCCGATGGTTGGATGGTGAGTTAAACTTTTATTCATAACAGAAGTGAATATCAAATTCATTTGTTAATAATTCTTTTGTTTTGTGTGTCTCGTTCCTTATTCCATCAACTTTAAACATGTACAAAAACTAATTACATCAACTTATTTGATTTTTCTCAAAGAGTGAGAGCATCTAGCTTTCCTATTCAATCATTAGAACATTTGCTTAATAGTAAGGTAACTTTTCTTTACAATAGCCTTCAAATACTCTGATACGGTCGAGGATGGGAAGAGTCCGCTATTCCTCTCGAAATGCTCTCATGGCTACCCGTATATAGCGACTTCCAAGAAAGTCCTACTCACTGCCTTTTCACGGCGGGGTTGTTTATGGAATTGAGAGAACGGAAAGCGAATGTTCGGCGCTTTTATTGGGTTGGTGTATACGGAGAATCCACTTAAGGGAGTAGTTCGTAAACCACGATTACAAACTAACGGGATATATGAGCTCCAGTATACTAAGGGAACAAATGACGTATGAACCTATTGTTGGTCACCATCTACTACGGGACCGCATCTCCTAACATTGCTCCACTGCCTTGTGGTTTAGACATCTAGATCAAGAACTCGAAAAGTGACCTCCTAGGAAAACCAAATATTTCTGTTTGGGCACCCGGGAAGTATCCCAGCCCATACAAACTGAATGATGATTACGCTGTGGCACACATATATTGTGGTGCCCCTTTGTACCAATGTTTGTTTCAGTAAATAAATAAGCGTCATTTAAAGAAATATTGTAAACAAGTATATCGTCTTAGTTTTGGACAGTAGTATGGATAACTAAGGGTTCTCAATTTATTTCATTTTATTTATTTTAACACATAAATATTGGTACGAAGGGGCACCAGATATATATGCGCCGCACAAATCAAATGAGATTTGTGTGAGGGCTGTGATACTGTCCAGGTCCCCAAACTGAAACATGTGGTTTTCTTAGGAGGCCTTCTTAGGAAGCCTTTCACCTAATGGCCTGATCCACAAGACAGTGGATCATCGTGAAGAGATGCAGTCCCATGGTAGCCGGTGACTAATAATTGGTTCATACGCCATTGTTCTCTCAGGATGCTAGGGCCCGTGTGCACCATTGGTTTGGAATCAAGGTTTTTCAACTCCCCTAGGTGGAATATCCGTGTCCACCAACCCGGTTAGAGCGCCGGACATTCGCTTTTCGTCCTCTCAATTTCGTAAAAACAGTAATGCCACTGTGAGAAGACAGTGAGTAGGACTTCCGTGGCAGAGGCTATATACGCGTGGTCATTTGAGAGCATTTGGAGAGGGAGAGCGGACTCTCCTCACTCTCGGCCGTACCAGGGCATTTGGCGGTTCTCAAAGAAAACTCCAAGCTATTTACTTCAGCAGTTACTATGTTCAATCTTTAATATCATAACATTTTGAAGTATTTAAAGATGATCCTTCCTCTTTCATTTGTTTGAGTGTATTTTATGAATAAAAACATACGGTTTATAAAAATTCAATAGTCGGTAAAGGAATCCTTTTTGAAACTTTTGTTACAATAGATTAAACGTTTTTTTTAGTAGGTGCATCCTATTTGTTTTGTTATACGGCATGCTTTACCTCATAAAAATCCAATAAATCACTATGTCAAGAGTCATATGTTTAAGTTAAGAATAGGATGCTTATATTATATGTTAAAAACCTGTGGATAACATCTAATTGCTAGTTTCCTTACACTTGTTTTTTTTGTTAATTTCATAAGGGATTAGATATTGGTCCAAAAACAATTGAAGAATTCAGTAAAGTGATTAGTCGTGCCAAAACTATTGTTTGGAACGGTCCGATGGGTGTTTTTGAAATGGACAAATTTGCAACAGGAACAAAAGCAGCAATGGATGAAGTAGTCAAAGCTACTAAGAATGGTGCTACAACTATTATTGGTAAGTTGTATTTATCCAATTTTTTTATCCTTGTTGAACTAATACACTGCTCTTAATGAGTTATTTTCATTTCCATAGTAGTAAAGTATAAACCATAATCACTATTACAGGCAGTATTACAAAGTTACGTTTTAATATTCAGTGATTTTGAAAAACTTATCTCTTTTCATATGGAGTCCTTATTTTAATTTGTTTCTAACCGTTTAAAGATTCGTATTGGTTTTCTCTCTACTACTTTTAGGTGGTGGTGACACCGCAACATGCTGCGCCAAATGGGACACAGAAGACAAAGTTAGTCATGTCAGTACTGGTGGTGGTGCTAGTCTTGAACTTCTCGAAGGTAGGAATGGCTTCAGTCCAATTATTTGCACTTACTATCGGTATGACGTAATGATTGACACACTTGTGTTGTATTTGACATTGAGTCCTCTGATCTAGAGCCCACGCTACTAGGTAATATTTTTTCTGCGTAGCAGATAGAGGGTCTTAAATGATTGACTTTCAACCAGTAGTTTGTATGTTTAAACACCATTCTGTTTTGGCATCTGGGTAATTTCACGTGCCTTAACACCAGGAGTATTATTATTATTGTAAATACAATAACCTGTATAAGTCAGGCTTATAAGTAGTCAGTTTTACGCACTGAAAATAATGGCTTCGACGTCGATTATGGCTTGTATGTGTCATTGGTACAATTGAAAAGTCATGTATAAATGACGCGAAGAACACTCATGATAACAAGTTGACATCAGTAATGTTAAATCCTGGGAGATTCAACATGCAATGTGCCACATGGTTATTATAATCATAGTATTAATAGATTTAATACTGCATATCCTGAATATAAGTTTATTGGAAACAAATATTCATTTTTCTACCATTCACTTAGTTAAATGTGTTTGTTTTCGCCAAAGCGACTGTAATTTCATACAACATAACCAACTTCAAACAGTCGTTGTAAACCGAAATGCATTAAGTAGCCGTTTCGTCTCAGTATGATACTTCTCAACAATGATTATCTACGATTCCACCAGGGATCGAGCTTACTCCATTCAGTTCTTACCGTATATGTTAAGCGTCTTTTCTTCTGTATTATAAATATGTTCTTGTTTTTCTGTTGCAGGTAAACAATTACCCGGAGTTGTTGCACTTACGGATGCTCATTAATGTGTTTGGTCATAATATATATCCCTTAACTTCATAATTAATTATAATTAGTGTTCTTAACTTTGAATTGTCACAATTTTTCTCAGTTATATGGTTTCTTTTTGCTGTTATATATCTGTTCTTGATTTGACAGATATATTTTCTCTTTAATTTCTGTACGTGTAGATGTATTTCTGCCATATGCGCATTTGCTGCCAATAGAAATTTCCTGTAATAGTTTTTTTTTCATATATGTGCGTAACTTTTGCCCATCTTCAAGTGGTATATTGAAAAGGTGCTGTTGGTATTTCATTGTAACATCATCCAAGAATATGCTTAGTATCAATAACGCTATTGCGTTATCTGCCGGATTCATCGCGATTATCAAATCTCCGATTAAATGTTTGGAAAAAGAATATAGGAAAAAGCGAAGTAGATTTTCTGAAATGTCCAAGACATTGATTTCTTCATTGAAGTTAAGTGTGTCTTATGTTATATGAATGTAAGCATGATATCGTGAAATGTCGTTATACGGAGATTCTGATGCAAGTCAACGAAATTCTGTAAATGGCTGATCATCCTGCTTCTTTCAACGTGTTTCCGTATGACTAAACTAAAACTAGTAACTGTTAGTCTCAACTGTTGATGGAGTATTAAATTGTCTAACCAGAATCCCTATGATTGTCAAAATTAATGGTTAAATATTTCAAGTAAAATATCTGATAGTGTTGTCGCCAAATGAAACTAATTGTTTTGATAACCCCGTGCAGTTTTCTCAAATTGGGATCATAAAACAAATGTTAACGCTAATAATTTGTTGATATCAATCTTCTATCTGTCTTTTCACAATTACTGACTACGCTATTTTTGATCTTCAAGTTTATGATATGGCTTTTGTATAGAGCGTTCAATGCAAAAGGGAGAGCACTGAAGATTATTCCATTTAGTGCCAAGCGATTGTTTAAGCTTACTGGTGATGATGTTATGGATGATAGAACGTTTTAGGTGTCATCTTGACTTTCAAGTAACATGAAATAATTACTCCTTGTCTAATGGGTAACTGCTTTGAAAATGAAGAATATTTGAGTGAACAATTGTTCTTAATAGCTTCATCATCAGTCTTTACAGTTATAAGACCATAGTTACTGTGATATTTTACAAAGCCCAAATGAGGCATATATGGATAAATTTGAAAATGCTATATGTTAAAAATGGCGAATGTGTTTGCATCTGTTACGACATATATACTTCGAAATTGTGTTATTTGCAAATTGGAAAGGTTATTTCATAAAGGTCAGAATGATTTGGAGTAAAGTGTCCAGTGACAATCAGTATAATAGTAATATAGGGAAAATGAAAATACAAAAAACTACGTGAATAAAATACATAGTAGGGGAATTTCATTTTGTCAATTGAGATAATAATGATAATAGTAATATTATAATCGTGAATGTGCACTGCTGAGTAGTCCCAAAATAGAGCGAAACGGCCGTTCATTATAAGTTGGAAAAAGGGTATGGGAAAATGCTGAATGGTTGATCAACGAGATTGCTCTTTATGGGTAGTTTGCGACTCTATCGACTTTAAAAATAAGCTGGTTTAAGATAACGATAGAATTAACTAGTCAATCGTGACTATGAAAGTAAAGACGAGTGATAAGCCCATTACTGAGTATTGTGATTGGATTCATTCGATCATAACTATTTGTACCGTTAGCTGTTTCATCATTTGTGATATTCGAGTTTCGTAGATATAATAGACCAATTAGATCTAATTGTTACAGATTCATGACGGGATGTATTGACTAGCTAATGGTTGTATGTCAAGCAACTGATTGTTTGTTTCCTGGTAACCAACTAAACAAGATGATCTTTAATTTCTTAGCATTTTATCGTCAATTTTTCGCCTGTACTCATAATAAGCTTTCTGTGGAGTGTCAACGTAATTCCTGTCTATAAAATAAGTGATGTACTTGAATAATTGCAGCTATGGCAGAACGCTATCATTATATTTTCACTCCAATATGTAACAAAACTCGAAACGTAGCAAGTACACGTACGTCTGCAAGAAGTTGAATAGTTATGAATAACAGCTAGTGACCCGTGAGCTGGGACTGCAATGTGTTGATTAACATTCGGACATTCAAAATCATAGTAAATGCTTGAGGTGTCGTCGTCGAGCTTTCCAAGCTGCGATCGTTAAGCTGACTAGTACAGGTTTAAATCTGAGGAAATATCAGTTCCCTTAAAATCCCGGGTACGTCGTACTGACCAGAGCTTACTAAAATGGAAACTTCCGTTATTAAAATATTACTTTTCTACATATATAGTTTTCTCTGCTAGAAAGTTGGAAATATATCCGACTTTTTGCGTCCTTATTAGCAAACTTGCGGAAGTCAGAACACAATCAAAACAGAAGTGTAGTCTAGAAGGTAAACCGAAGACACTCAGTGCTCTTACCAAGCTGAAAATTATGTTATGATGCAAGATAACTCCAACATCAAAAGTACATACACTCCACTTCAACTACTTTGATTAAGCTAGGCAGTTAGTATCGGCTGTTCTCACATAAATGTGACTAAAAACATTAATAATCTGCACTTGGAATTGTGCTTAATTCTTTCTGGAATTTTAGATTTGATTGTAGGGTTTCATTTATAAAAGTTTTATTAAGGACTCCAGAAGCAAGAACGTTTTTATGAAATCACTTCGAATACATAAAGTTTACCAGTGGTACATTTAAAACTTATAAAAATACTGTATCTTCAATAAGTTTAAACAACATAACAACTAAATAACTATCAGTCAGCCACAACGTAAGACTGGACACACGTATGCATCGGTCCAAGTTGACATACCTCGTTAGCACAACAAGATGGACACCGAATCGATAGAAGTAGGTAATTTATAAAAGAAAGATTGTATGTAAGGAAGAAAGAGAGTTATGAAGCAATTTTAATCTCAAGGTTTAAGGGGAGATAAAGAGTGTATACACCTGCGCCATTGTGATCAGTTCTGGTCCATGTCACCTAGAGTCTCCAACCATTGGTTACGATAGTCACACGGACCCCAACGAAGTAGTCTGCATCTACCAACATTTCTCAGACTAGAAGTTAATGACTTCATGGTCTGATGCCACGTTTCGGTAAAAAAAAGTAACTATATGAACCATTGAATATCTATTTGAACAAAAATTCATTTACTATTGTTTGTTTGAATCTTCCCATCGATGTGTTAGGACTTATCAACTCTGAGATGCAGGTAAATCCAGCTGACGAGTCCCAAATAGGACGAAACGCGCGTCAAACTGGATTTCACTGCTAGCCATTATCCATTACTGCTTATCTATTTGAACAGTTTTAAAGAAATTGTGCTTAAATAAGAATTTTTATTATACAAAAGTTAACATTCACTATTCAAAATACAATAATTTCCCCTTAATACACTATTCATTTAAACAAGCAAATATATATAATATAATAACAACAATATGAAGATAAATTAACACCAGTAATATAATGAGGACATTGAATAGATTATTAAGAGAGACAAAAACAATGATTTACAAGTGCATAATTATTACGTAATAGTGTCTTATTCATAAAGACCGGGAATATAATCAAATGTAATACTTATATTCTATGTATGAATATACTACTATTACTATTATTAGTAGTAGTAGTTGAAGTACTTATGTTTCTAAGTGTTATTTCAAACGATAGTTACTTGTTATGTAATAATGTGAAAGTACTTTATATGCATTATGTATCTTACCATTGACTAGGAAAGTCAATGGTTAGATTTTGAATATATATATATATATATATATATATATATATATATATATAACCTTAATGTCTATGTGTGCGTGTGAATTGTTTAATTGATGTGATCGTCTTCATTCAATGATAAGATAGAATATAAACAATATATAGATTGAATAGTCTAATATATATATTGCCAAAATACTTGATTAGATTAAGTAATTGTAACCGATTAATTTATATGAACCAAATATGTTTATGATATCAATACATTATCATAAGTAAGTAGTCAGTAGTTAATAGTAGTATATGAGTAGTAATGTTCTAAAAATTAGAGATAAATTGTTTGTGTATTATAAAGAGACAAAAGGTTGTAAAATAATAAATCAATAACAGATTCTCTACATTAAGTTCAATTAACCTCTTTTATAATGTAAGCCATAAATGATATTGAGGTAGTTTATTACATAACAAATGCATTTGTTTTTTTTGTTTTTTGTTTGTTTTATTTTTCACCTTTGAAATCAATATTTAGATGGTAACTATTTATATTCGATGATTGTACAATTAATCATACCCCCCCCCTAGTTACTATTTAATCACATTGAATACAAGTACATTTTTTAGCTAATTTTATAGTTCTTTCATAAACAGCACCATTAGGACAATTAAATAATATTGGACGTAATTTAATTTTTATTGCTTGACAACAATGTTGTTTTTTCATTGATGAAGTAATCTTATAAGAATTAAGATTTATTGAATATGGAGATGAAATAGGAGTATTAGAATCTTTCCTTTTTAATATATGTGATTGTTTATGATCTAAATTCTGGGGTAACCATACACGATCAGAATTAATTGATCGTTTATGGAATGCTTTCCATTTATGATATTTGAAAGATTCATTATCATTTGTAATATCATTGTTGTCATTATTGAATAATTCTTGTTGTTGGAAGTTTATCATAATTGAATCACAAGAACCAGAACATTTACGTATGGATAGTTTTCTTGATGAAATACAATTTGTTTGAGGATCACGAATATATGAACGTTGTGTTTCACGATGACAAACAGGTACTAAAATATTTAAAAGTAATAAAAAAAAATTAAATTTGTAATCTAATTTTAAACAACTAACTTGGAGTTTGTAGTTGTACTTACTTACTTACTTACGCTTGTTACCCCTCGTCGAGGAGCATAGGCCGCATACCAACATTCTACATCCAACTCTGTCCTGGGCAACCCTTTCCAGTTTTTTCCAGTTAATATTCATCCTTTTCATATCTGCTTCTACTTCCCGGAGTAATGTGTTCATTAGCCTTCCTTCTTTCTGTTTCCCTTCCGGATTCCAAGTTAGCGATTGCCTCGTGATGCAGTTTGGTGATTTTCGTAATGTATGTCCAATCCACCTCCAAAGTCTTTTCCTAATTTCCTCTTCAGCTGGAAGCTGGTTTGTCCTCTTCCATAAGATGCTGTTCCTGATAGTATTCGGCCAGTGAATGTTTTGTATTTGTACATATGGATATAATAGTTCAGTGGATTTATCATGAGAGGATAGTGAAATTCTACAAATTTCTTCATTAGCTTGTGCACGAGATATAGATTCGCGTAACTAGCTTTGAGTCACATTCTAAATGTAAGGACTATTGATACTACCCGTTTTTGCGGTAACCGAAGTAAATGAAGTCGAGTTCCCACCTGCGACTTTGTGGCTAACAGTCGAAACTCTTAAGCAATGAACCACTTCTCCGCAATTCATTGGATGCTATTAAACCGCTCATTCCAATATCTATGAAATTTATTATCAGGAACATTTCGTCGTTAAACCCTTAAGTTACGATCCATCACCTCTCATGCTCAGAAATAAATGAATTCATAGTTCAGTGGTTTAGGCGCGAACTACCAAAATTAGGCTTCTTTAATTATAATAGTAACGGTATTTTTAGAACCCTAAAAAATTGTCCTTAAATTAACTGAAGAATGAGTAGAGGTATAGACTTAAGATTATTAGTTTTGGGAAACTTTATTAATTTTAAGTGAACATCCCATAACAACTGACAAAGTGCTGAAGTTCATAAATTCTGTCGTAACAGTGTTATAGTTTAAAATTAGTAAGAAGATCAAACAATTGTCAGACTCAGTTTCCAATTACCTACTTGCTTACTTACGCCTGTTACTCCCAATGGAGCATAGGCCATCGACCAGCTTTCTCCAACCCACTCTGTTCTGGGCCTTCTTTTCTAGTTCTATCCAGTTCTTGTTCATTCTTCTCATGTCTGTCTCCATTTCTCGGCCTAATGTGTTCTTCGATCTTCCTCTCCTCCTTTGACCTCCAGGATTACATGTGAGGGATTGCCTTGTGACGCAGTTGGGTGCTTTCCTCAATGTGTGCCCTATCCACTTCCAGCGCTTCTTTCTCCGCTGAAATCTGGTTTGTTCTCTCCCAAAGTAGGTTGTTACTGATAGTGTCTGGCCAA